TGATTTAAAATGTTATTAAAATGGTGAGTTGCACTAGCTCAATAAAATGTCACACTACTAACTGATACAGAAATGAAGGTTAGTAAAAATCATGAAAACAACTAATAGAACTCTTAATTTAAATAAATTTATTTATCATAAATAAATCATTTATTGTACACTTACCGTATCGAGATTTCCAAAACTGACATATAGAGGCAATAACACAACAATATCATAATCTCATATTCAATTAATCAAAACAATAATTTTTTCTTTTAACCTGTCTACTGGTATCTATGGGAATCTATAGGGATGTCTTCACTACGCGTGAATCCTTATTCAACATTGTCAATTAACCGACTGTTCTCATACCTCGTCCGGTATGAACGCCAAAAATATCATCCATCAATATCTCATTAGGCATTAGGTGAAACAGGTCGTCCCCATATCATGTCCGGTATGAGCGCCAAAATACTAATTCTCGATACCCGGTATGAGGCAACATTCACAGTAAGATTCTCTATATACCTGATCCATCCACCATCTCCTAAGATATCTAATAAGGCTACCATTCATTTACTCACTTAATCAAACAAATTTCTCGTTTATATTTAATTTTTAGTTTCATAATTTAACTGTAAATCACGCAAAATAAGCAATACATGCATCAAGGAAGCACAACTGAATCATCATACCAACTTCAATGTAATATTATGCATTTAAAACAGTAAAATTAATCAAATAGGATCAACAGTGAATAATAACCGGGTTCTGCTCTAGTAGTAATCTGTGATTAATTATCGAGATCTTTTAAATTATACAAAATATCATATTATTTATAATTAAACTTCAATTCCATAACAAGAAATAGGATGATGGCTTCTTACTCGAATCGGTGTCGTAACGCTAAACTTTTAGCTGCGCGTACTGACGGTTCTCGAATTTTCTGAATTTTTCATCAGAGATTAAAACACACTCCAAGTACCCAAAAAAATCCAAAACTGGTGTTAAAACACTTTCCCGGCAAATTATGGAATTCTGGCACGATGGCATCGCCGCCATGGCAGCGGTTTGCCTCAGGCCTACCGTTTTCGGTCAGTTTCGCCCATTTTGGCCGGTTTTGTACTCATCCCCGCGAGAAAACAAGTTAAGGGGTCTCAATTAACTGGAAAAAAAAGTCAAAAAATAGAAGCTTACCGACAGCGGAGTTTTCCGATGCGACGACTCTGCAGCTTACCTTCACGGTTGCACCTTTTTTTTTGTTAACCTATGGGAAACAAAATGGTGAATACAATGGTAGAAAAATTGCACAAAACGAAAATCGGAAAGAGCCTTAAATAAAGCAGTTTTTTAGTTTTCCCGCGGCGACACCGTCGAACTTTACCCGCGATTTCTGTCTTATCCACCAGTCTTTTTGCTCTGATTTGGGCATAGAAGTGTTCAAAATCGAATTTCAAGCGAATAAAATTTTTTTTTACCTCTTTTGATAGTTCTTCTTTTCTGGCGGGGGGCTAGCCGCTAGGATTAGGGTTATGTGTGAAATGATGTATTTATATATGTCTCCCTCTAATTTAGATCGTCCATCGTGTTTGATCTCGACCGTCTGATCGCATTTAAATAAGAAGTAAATCTGAACCGTTCATCTCGATTTGATCTGGACCGTTCGATCGCGCCTGAGGGGGGAAAGGATCTAGACCGTCCATGCGCGCAAAAACAATTTCAAATCGTCCGATTGCGAGCACATGGATTGCCAGCGTGGCACCGCATCAGCGTGCCTTGCCACGCAGCGTACTCCGGTTTGTCGAACTTGCTGATTGGGTTGTCCTACGTAACACATTTTTTTTAAATTACGTTTTGACCTTCAATTTCTAATTTTTCTTTTAAAAATACTCCATAACCCAAATTTTCACCTATTTTTTTCAAAATTATTTTTAATTTCATCCTCCACTTATTTTTCTAATTTTTTCATTAAATAAAATTTATAAATTAAAAAAAATTATATTTTATATATTAATTTTAATTTTTGTAAAATTAATTAAGGGTATTAAATTGTATGTTTATTATTGTGAAGTGAATCAATGCAATGTGTGTGTATATATATATATATATTTCCTTTCTCCACAAAATAATGTTAATTTAAACTCAAAAATTAAGCAGTTACCGATATTCACTAAAAGAATAATATAAATAAAAAAGTATCATACTTTAATATCATAAGTTAAATAGTATTTTGTTTTAATTAAAATAAATAAATAAATTTGAAGCATAGTTAACAGTTTGATTTTTAAAAAATTTTGTAAACTTTTGTATTTTATTTTTTAAAAAATATTCTTTTAATTTTACGCACTTTGACATATATTAATACATTATAATATTTTTAAACAAGAGCGTAGAGGTGTGAGACTTTGCGCTCTTTTCTCGATTTATTTTTTTAATATATTTCATCAAGTAGATACCGTATATGCTTACTAACGTCTTCTCTTATGCCCTAGTTTCGTGCATATAAAATTAAATTGATTTTTTTCTAAAATAAATAAATGAATAAAATATTTTTAATATTAAAATACAATTGAATTTAGCTATTTGGAAAAAAATGTAAATTAATATTATATACTCTTGATTTTCTAGTGATGAGTTAGTTTAATTATGTATGAATATATAAGTCATGATTATATTATAATCATTAAATAACTAAAATCTACAATTTAACAAAAATATAAATAAATTTGAATTAAACAGGATTTAATGTTATGTAAATTTACGAAGAGATTTTATACTGTTGAAATATTAAATATTATCCACTCAAAATTTTAAAATATCAAAACATTAGTATAATAATATAAATAATATTTATCAATTTAAATTTTTTAAATAAAAAATAAAATTTAATTTTTAATTAAGTATAAATCGTACACTTTATAATTCTTAATTATAAAAATGTAAATAACCCAACATGTCCAACCCGAAAGCCCAAAACCTACGGGAGCGTGATGCTACGGCACCGTTTTGAGATCGAGAATAGAGATCGAGAAAAAGGGACAAGGTGGCGTGATGGTGGGGAAGCAGGTGGAGTGTGACGATCAAAATTAGTTGAGATGTGGGTGTTGAGGAAGAATGAAGATGATGATGACTCATAGACCAGTCGAAGCAGAAGAAGGAATCTGTTTCGACGATGGCTGACGACGAAGATGACTGATAGACGACTCGAGGCAGAAGGAATGTGCTTTCGACGATGACTGACGATGAAGATGATTCGAGGACGGCAAAGGAAGAAACAGAAAGATGAAAAGGCTTTCCCGACGCTTTTATCTGCCGTTATAGCCCTGTATATTCTACTTTAGTTGTCTGCTTTAATTCTTTTGTGTATTATTTTATTTTATTTTGTTATTTTCTTGTTCTTAGAACTCTCCGTCATTTTTGTTTGCAAATTTACCATTAAATGATATATTTAAAATGGTTTACTGTCCTGTCGCTGATTAGTTAATGACGATGATCACGAAGATGATGATGATGATCACGAAGATGATGATGATGATCACGATGATGATATTGGTTCATGAATAATACAGGACTCTAGCTATATATAGTTGGTAGAAACTCAGAGAACTGAAGAAAGAGAGAGAGAGATGACAGAGCAGGAGGTTTCCCCAATAATCCGATCAAAACCCATGAATGGAGGAGATGGCCCTTACAGCTATAGTAAAAACTCTTCTTACCAGGTAAATAATTCTTTCTGTAGCTACCACACACTCACATACACATGTATACATATATATATCCATATGTAGATACATATATATATATATATATGCAGACACAAGAATGCTTAATTAATCCTTCTGTGTGGTCACGAAGATATAGAATTTTCTTTTGATTTTGGGAAGGTGCGGTTTATGTGTATGTGGAATTTTCTTCATCAACTTATCATTTCATCCATGAATTTTATAAATAATAATTTATTTCCTAT